AGACGACAATGGGAATGCTAGACTACCTTACAGGAGCATTTTAAAGGCTGATGTGGCTTACCTTTCAGTATAAATATGCGAGTATCCTGCATAAGTATTCAAACAGCCATTTCTCTCTCTTTTTTTTATTATTATTATTTTTTTTTGCGTATCATTTTTGAAATACTGGTAGGGTTCATTCGTTTATGTCACATTTTGTAGCATATAGAGTATGTGATTTTTGGTACTGAGAAAATGTATATTTATTTTTTATTCTTTGAAAACAATAAAATGTTTTTTAGGTTTTTGAAATTTCAATATCAAATATTGAGACTAATAAATGGAATATCAAAAAACTATCAGTACAAGATCTAGATGATAAGGGAAGGATGTCTTTCTCAGCGACTTTGGCCATTTAATGTGATACAAGTCAGCCTGAAGGTATGGAGCACCAAATAAGAAATATTAAAATTTTATATTCTAATTTGGGGTATTTGTTCGCCAATGAAACAAACTCGAGACGTAACAGCTTCATAATCATACGAACCAGAAAAAATATATATAAAAAAATCTAGGTCCCATATAGAGTACCCAGATTAAATGGTGACGCTCTCCTGGTGCACTAGTCTTGTCTGATTGAAAATCGTCGGTAGCAACTACTGAGGTATCCCTACCTCCTTGTTATTATTATTATGAGTATCAGTATTGTTATTTTTATTTTTATTTCTATTAAGGTATTTTTTATTATTTTTTATTTTATTTTTATTTTTTATTTTTTTCCTTATTTTTAGGTTTGTTATTATTTTGATTATTTTTTTTTATTAAGTTTGTTATCATCATGACTATTAATGATGATAATAATGATTATTATTTTTATTATTAATATTGTTAGTGTTATCATTATTATAATTATTTTTGTGTTATCATCAATCTTGACTAGGATTCCTTCTGTCTTCTTTCTGCTACAGAATTTGGAAAGGTTTCCCGTTTGCTCTTATTTTCAGGAGAATTGCTTGTCGCTGATACCCCAAGGCCTGATTAAAGATATCGGTACATATTATCAGTAAATTATAGTTTTTAAATTTGTTTTGAATATGGCTTGTTAGATGACTTGTTAGATTTTCAGCATTTTTTGGCTCTAGGGTTACATCGTCTTAAAATATCACAGAAAAAGTCACGAGTTTTTAATCTCTTGACGTCGGGAGTGCTTCGATACGTCCACTGATCACTGTGGGCTTGTTTTCTTATTTTTATTGTTTTATTTATTTTATATGTGTATTTATTTGTCTTTATTTTTATATATCTGTTGAATTTTTTTAGTTTATCTTTATTGAATTTTATGAATCTTTATTTATATTTATTTTTTACTTATTTTTATTTATTTATTTATTTGTTTGTATTTTGGAGACGGTTTCACAAGTGTCAAGTAAACAAGGCTACTTGGTCGGATTAGTCTCACTTGTTTATCGTATTCCTTTTTTTTTAATGGGGGTGGGGGGAATGCGGCTTTAAGGATTATTGTATTTTGCGTTATGACAACAGTGACGGTGATCGAATAATGATGATTGTGGTTAGAATGATCATGATATTAGTTATGATGATGTTCATGATAACCATTGTAATGATGATGACAACCGTAATAATCATTATACTAATAATGATCATAATGAAAATTATTTTAAAAGTAATGTTCATAGCAATATTGATTATCATGATGATAATGATTATAGTGATGTGATGATGGTAGTGATGATAATAGTAATAATAATGATATTGATGTGAATACTTACATCAGTATTCATATATTGATTTTGAAAATGTTACTAATGATAATGATAATGATGATGATAAAAGCTGTTAATGATGATATTAATAAGTAGTAGTAGTGAAAGTATTAATATTTGACTACAAATTAAATTTTCCAATCACATTTGCCAGTATTAATGGAATCAATGGTGTATGAGAAACAAAATTAGTCACCGAAACTGTAAACTTTAAAAGAAGAAATACAATTACACAAATAAAATCAAATATTGTTGCCAATTATCAATTTAGATTAGCTGTATGATTATACCCCGGGAGGCAGTGGGGCCTTCCAGATATCCAGAACCATCTATGTTAAAGGAAAGAAAAGAAGAGGAAAGATAAGGAAAAAAAGAAAGACCGCGTATGTATGCATGCAGCTTCGGTGATGATGGGCTCTGAATGATATTGAGGGTGCCTCTGAGTTTTAGAAACGTACTTTAAGGATAATGCATTGCCAGCCGTTGTTCATCTTTTATTAATTTTTTTCTTTGCTTTCGATTTCATTAAAACAATTTTTCCTTTTAGAGGCCTAATTGTTTGTTTGCTTGTAGGTCAGTACGCATCTGGCAGCGACGGGACTCTGGCCAGTATTGGCCAAGTGTTTGCCACTTTTTGCCTTCGATACCCAGTTGTTTCCACTACACGCCTGATAACAGACGCATGTTCATTGGTCTCGACAATGGTACAGTCACGGTAAGTGCTAGGCATGTTTATTTATTTCTGTCAATGCTCAGGAATGTATTTTTTTCTTGTATAGGTTTTAGGGAAGGTTTTAGATGCAAGGAGGAAAATGGTAGATGCCTACACTTTGTACATACTTTATGCGCTTAATTTACTTCAGTTTCCTGCCAGATTGTGGAATTAAGGAAGAAGGTTTTACTCATCCTAATTGATAACATCGACTTCTTGCTGTTTAATACAATGGAGTTTTAAATATAGAATTGTGATATAGAAATTTGGAAATTGAATTTTAACCCAATCAGCCCAGATGTCGAGAATACATGCCACGCACACTTTTGTGAATGGAAGTAGCTACTGATTATTTTACAGTGGTTAGTGTCAGTATTGTAAAGGATATTTTTTTTCATAATTTATGCAGAAAACCCAATGTAATGGTAAAGAGCAAGTATTTGTATGAAGAATAACACAACAATAATAAATTATAGAAAATTGTCATTCACCACTGATATTTGTGAGAATGGGAAATACATTAATAAGTTTGAATAATCCTCACAATTAATAACATCTTGACTGTGGCAAGATGTGCTTTTCCTGAGTAGTTTTTTTGAATTTTGTTGCACACAGTTGGCTCAATAAGTGCTTGGTCAAAAAGGCGTCGGTGAGTTGGGCTTACGTTGACCTCACGTGATTAACTCATTCCTTCAATTTTTTTTCCTAATGCTAATGGTATCGATACTAATGGTATTATTACTGACATTATGATCATTATAATGGTGCTGAAATACAAATTATAATGAAAAATAGAAAAGAATCTTTGTAAAAACAAGAAAAAAGTTGATTAGGTTGTTATTTATAAATGTGAATAATGAGGGAAATGCAAATTATTACTCAGTTATGTATTATTTAAATCATCTGATATGTCATGAGTCTATTGCCAATATTATTTTATTAATATTATCATTATATATTATTATTATTATTATTATTATTATTATTATTATTATTATTATTATTATTTTCATCTTTATATTGATAATTTAAAAGGATCTTATGACTTGCATGATTTTCAGTCCCGTCCCACCCTCGTCTTTCCAGGAATTTGAGGTGGCCACAGACTACAACAGCATCAGACACAAGCGTGATTACCTAAGCCACCAGAATCGAGTGACAGGCGTCATCTTCTGCCCGTCTGCGGAATGGGTACTCTCAGTGGCGCGAGACAAGTTCTTTGTGTATCACTGCACAGAGAGTGGGCGTCGACTAGGAGGGCACCAGTCCTCTGGCTGGTGTACGGCCCTGCAGTACGACTACAAGAGTAAACACGTGTTTGTGGGTGATTACAGCGGACAGATTACAATGCTCAAGTTGGAGGAGAGTGGGCCGCAAGTTATTACTGTACTTAAGGTAATTTCTTCATGTTCATCATCATATTAGATAAATAAACATCTTCATCTTCATATTATTGTTATTGTTTTTATTGTAATTTATCATAATCATCATCATCACCATCACCATCACTATCACCATCATTATCACTATCATCATAATCATCACCATCATCATCACCACCATCATCATCATCAGTTATTATTATTAATCAGCAGCATCACAATCATTAAGCCCAAGGTTTTGTTTTCCAACAGGGTCACAATGGTTCCATTAGATCACTAGCCTGGGATGTGGACAGACAGCTCCTGTTCTCAGGTTCCTATGATCAGTCAGTCATTGTGTGGGACATTGGAGGCGGAAAAGGAACGGCCTTCGAGCTGCAAGGACACACGTAAGAATGGTGGTTCCTCAGTGTAAAGTTCTCTGGTGTTGAAGTGATTTTGAAAGACTGGGGGTGATTCTTTTTAAAGAATAAAGTATAGAGTGTGAATGAAAGATTTAAAGGATAGCTGATGTATCTGTACTTAAACTTTTTTCTGTATGGGTTTTCTCTGTGTATCTCTCTCTCTCCTTAGAGGGAGTCATATTGTAATGTGTTGTTGGTATTTTTCTTTTCTTTGATTTGATATTTAAAGATAAGGCGGATGTGTTCACTTGCTTTAGAGTTGGAGGTGGTTGATGGATAAAACAAATAAAGAAACTACTAAACACTGTGATTGTTACTGACATTTTTTTTAGGTCTTGCAGTAGTTGATATTTATTGATGTATTTTAGTTTTAGTTTACTTTTCCATGGGATTGTAACTTCTCTTTCTTTTTTCATAGGAATAAAGTATCATCGCTTGTCTATGGCTCCGTAAGTCACCAGCTGATCTCAGGTGGAGAAGATGCTACTGTCGTATTCTGGGATATGAAGGCTAACAGACAAGAGGTGAGGATGTTTTTGTTGTTTGTGAAGTGGAAATGAAATCTTCCTACTTTTAACTCCCTTTTTTTTATCCCAAACTAAGATCTGGATCCAGCCCTAAAGAAATGCTATATTGTTTCAGACTCCAGAGTGGATAGAAGCTGATTCTTGCCAGTACTGTGACCGTCCCTTCTTCTGGAATATCCGTGCCATGATGGACCAGAAACAAATTGGACTGCGGCAACACCACTGCAGGTTTGTTGTTGTTTTCTTCACTAACCTGTGGGCTCTTAACCCCTTGGATCCAGATGCTTCACTGCCGTCACATGGCCCAAAATACAGGCATTTGGCTTACTTGAGCAGCCTGTTGTGGCCTCCCCTTTGGAATGGTATTTTCTCTTTTTCTGCATATGCATTTTTTTTTTTTTTTGTCATTTTCCTATGTCTGTATTTGTTATTTCATTTGCTTTATCCAGATGGTAATAGACTGTTTTTCTTGTACAGACTCCATATCATCTCAAGATGGTACATAACTCGGTACAATAATAATAACAATAAGTTAAACTTATTTGTGTGATTTTTAAATTTATTTATAACATTTAATTTTCTGTAGTACAACCAGTGCCACTGGTCATAGTGGCCTGGAACAGAATCCTGAACATGGAAATGGCATCCTCCCTGGAATTAGTGCTCTTCCAGTCGTGGCTCACAGATAGTACATTCCACACACTTTTATTGATGGAAATGCCCACTGAGTTGTATCACACTCATGTAGCGTAATTCCTGTCATCCTGGCCTTCAGCTGAAATTTTCATGATGGCAAGTTCCTGTCAGCCCAACCCTCAGCCAAATTTTCTCCAGCCCCTCAAGCCAGATTTTTCTATGACGTGATGGCCATGTCATCCAGATTGTAGTGATTAACTTGTTCTGTCTTGTAACATGATGAAATGGCTAATGAATCACAAGAGGATACAAGAGGATATTGGATTCCCTAGTTCATTGTTTCCATTTAAAAGGAATTTATAGTCGTCGTAGAACTGTTGTAGTTTTACTTGTTTATGTTTTTATTCTTATCAGAGTTTGATCTTCCTGTGATACACCCAGTATTGTTTATATAGTACATAACATTTTAAGTAAAATCAGATTCTTGATGCATGCCAGATTAACATTAAGCTTTGTGTCATCAAAGGGAAGACAGTTGAGCCGAGTAGTAAAGAGAATCAAGTGTAAATCTGTGATTGTCATTGGTTATCGATTACTTTCAGAAAATGTGGTAAGGCTGTGTGCGACAGTTGCAGCAGCAAGCGTTCTACTATCCCAGTCATGGGATTCGAGTTTGATGTTCGAGTATGTGATAATTGCCACTCCACCATTTCTGATCAGGAGTAAGTAGTTCCTAATGATTATGGTGGTTCTAGATGTAGAGGGAAATTTTCATATAATTTTGATTTGTGTATATGCAGTTTATTTGTTAAGTATGTAAATCTTGTAAGATCTTAAATGATGAAATGAATAAAAAGATTTTTTTTTACAGTGTTTCCTCTGTATTTGAACATGCTTGAACTGAATTTAATATTTACACTTTTTTCCCTTTCATGCAAAGTGTTAGTGGAGAAAAGTAAGATATTATTTTAACCTTGTGAGAGTAATAGTGAGATTTTCATTGGTATTTGGGCTAAAGCATGTATTTAGAGGTAAGGCTAATGTTATTGTGTTTCTTTTCTACTTTCAGGCGGGCATCACTTGCCAAGTTTCACGAGGTGAAGCACAACATTGTCTGTATGGACTTAGATGAGGAAGCAGGTCTTCTCCTCACTGTTGGTGTGTATGCTTGTGGTTTTGAGTTTGGTCATTGGTGTCAGTTATTGGTGATGTTTTGCTTATTTTTGGATTGAAGGGCTTTCACATATGGATAATTTTTTCACTACTTTCTACTGTATTTGTAATTCGTATCACATATTGTCTATTTGCTACCACTCTTGTATTCTCTTATGTACGCTGGATCACAAAAGTATCGGTGCACAATTTGTGTGAAACATTTTGTACCACAGTACGAAAGTCACTGTATCTAATATCCCACATTTTGGTAGGCTTGATGTCTCACCTGATGCATCATCTCTGCACAGCTTGCATGTGGAATTTATGAATGCTGTCAAATTACCCAATTGCTTAATAGGTTGTTTATAATGACGACTTGTAAGAGGTCTGTAATATGCAATTGGACCCCCAAAAATGACATCAAGATTTGCAGAGAACATTAGGTAAAAAAATTCTGATAAGGAGGATTGTTTATTATGCAATATCTAAGGTCGACATTCATGTTTCATAAAATGTTGCACTTAAAAGAATATCAAATCACATGTGGAACATTGTGACTACTCAAACTCCTCAAAACTCTGACTTTTAGGGGAAGCCATATGTATGATGTCTTTTTTTGTCGTACAAAATATGCAGTAAATGCTATGCCATAGAAATTCAAACATATATATCTATATTTTGCTTGAAAGTGACTATAAGAATTATAAAGATTATTTAGATACAAGAAATTGAGTAATGGAAACCTTGCCATGCCATCCTGAGGTCTGAAAGGTCAAGGAAACCTTAAAATGAACATTAGAATCAGCAGTTAAATTGCGCTCGTATAACAAGATTATGAATATTTATATGGATATAAATACACATATGGTCTACCAGTTACAAATGTGGGAACTATACAAAAAAAGTAATGAATATGGCAGATTTTGCCACTTCCTGGTTTACTGAACATGCAATAATTCTTTCTTGAAGAGTATTGAGCCAGAAGGAGCTGGCAATTTTTAAAATTAGTTCTAGAATTGTAAATTTGTGCAACTTTTTAGTCATATTCTGTTCAAGGAAAAGGAAACACTGAAGGCAAAGGTACACTTAATTCTTTTTCTTATTTAATAATATTATTAAATATTTTGTAAACTAACTATTATTCATCTTATATCATATTTGTTATATTAAAATATATGTATTTTCTTTAATATTCACAAAACAGATCTTGCAGAAATATAAAGTTATTTTATGTGGAACACACACAAAAGAGGGAAACGCTATCAAATGCCTACATAGTCCATGTATACCTGCCACAACTGTAGCTTGAATATAATGAGTGGACGTTCTGTAAAGAATAGCAAGAGTCTCAAGCAGCCTAGAATATGCATCAAATGCCATTATAATTTCAACCTTTCCCCTTGTTTCTTTCAGGGCAAGATCGAGTTATGAAAATGTGGGATGTCTCAAGCTTGCTGAATTGATCTGAAGTGTACGCATCGTATGGATTGGGGTTTATTGTCCTGTGCTGAGGTCCGAGACCTGACAGCATCTGATCTTCGCATTCCATGACTACTTATTGTGTGTAATGATGATATTGTATGTGATTGAAAAAAAGAACCATGTAAGTGTTAAAATATAGGAGCAACCTTTGTAATAAAGAACATTCATAATGAAAGATATATATATATATATATATATATATATATATATATATATATATATATATATATATATATATATATATATATACATATACATACATACATACATACATACATACATACATACATACATACATACATACATACATACATACATACATACATACATACATATATACATACATACATACATACATATACATACATATATACATATATATACATATATATACATATATATATATAGTATATATATATATATATATATAGTATATATATATATATATATATATACATAATACATACATACACACATATATACATACATATACTAATTATATACAATTGAATATGTGATTTTTTTTCTTGATCTGAAAAGTGTGAAAACGAGTCTATTATGGTGAAGAGTTTCAATCTTTAGGTATGATGTTTCACACACGTAAAGGAAACACACATACATACTCGCAAATTCTCAGACATACAAACCGGTGGACGCACGCCACTGCACACGCATTCAGACACGACCCTGCCAAAGACTTATTCTGACGGATCAGACCACATAGATAATCTCCCAGCGGGGATCAGCTCCAGTCTCCATTGAAATCCTCATCTTCCAAGGAATTAATGTAATCAGGATTTTCTTCTTTAAATTTCCTTGCTTTTACCTTTCTTCCCTCTGTTTTTTCCTCCTCTTTCTTTCTTGTTTTGGGTCTCTCTATTGAAACCCTCATCTTGGCTTTTCTTTCTTTCTTTCTTTCTTTTCTTTTTCTTTCTTTCTTCTTTCTTTCTTTTTGTTTTTTTCTTTCTTTCTGTCTTTCTTTTTCTTTATTTTTTTTTTCCTTTCTTTCTCTTTCTTTATTTTTCATTCTTTCTTTCTTTCTCTTCTTTTTTTCTTTCTTTTTCTTTTTTTTCTGTTTTTGCTTATTTTGGGGCTGACCTTTTACAATACTAGTGTCTTGTGGGTTTTAATTACCTTTGTATCATTACTGAATGAGGTAAATTTCTTTTGTTCATCTTTTTTATTTGTTTGTATATTTTTTTCTGCTTTATTTTTTGTTTTGTTTATTTATTTACCAGTATATCTCGAAGGAATGCTTTATGGGTTGAATATTAATACTGATAATTTTATTGGTGTTGATATTACAGTTGATATTGATATGGATATTGTTACTATTGTTACTATTGTTAGTATTGATAATTTTATGTTCAGATTATGTTCACTATTAATGCTAATATTGATATCATTGTTAATTAGATATTAATTCTATTTCAGAAATACTGTAAAGTTCTGATTTTAGTTATGATTTTGTTTTACAGAAGTGGCCCTCTTACTTTTCTTGTTTTATTATGATGATGATTATTATTATTACTATTTTTTTTCCAATTTCTGAATTTTTTTTTTTATCGGCTGTAACCTGAATGCTCATAATCCTGTCACATTTCTTAGGCCTTAAGCAAGATACTAAATTGGAATAAGACTTAAAAGTGCATTGCCTATTATAGGGAGTGATTTTGTGTTTGTGATATTTCTTTTTACTTTAGTTGATTGTCCTTAAGGAACAGATTTGCCTTTGCGTTTAAGATGTTTTCGGGTATGTGTAGAGGCTGTGTAGGTTTTGCATTTTTTTTTTTTTCTTCTTTTTTCAACAAGACGCACAGTTGATAGAGATATAGAGTGACCGAAAGAAAGAAAGAGATAGATAGAGAAGGAAAGAGGTGTTGATCTGGTGGGAAGAGCTTTTAGCGGTACAATTGTTGCTCTGCGTTCTAGCCATGTTTGAAGGACCCAAGGTGCGAATGGGTCTTATGCATTATTGTGAATTTAGATGAACTGACTGTCAGTATGAAGCTTTACTCTGTCAAGGAAGAATTGGTATGGCATTGTATAAATTCACTGGAAAGATGTGCCAGCTTCATTTATGGATTTAAATGAGAAAGATTCAGCAACTGTAATTTTGTACCAGTCTGGCAGGCTGAACAGGTGATATATTTTTTAGAGTATATGAATTCATATTTATAGGAATTATATTTTGTTGTATATTGGATTAGTAAAACATAATATGAAAAGGTGCTACCATCTCAAAAGATGTAAAGCAAATTTCAAGTCATGTTGGACAATAAGTAGCTGTAGAAGAAGGAATGGCATTTCGGAAGAGGAACTATTAGTGTTCGGCATCACAGCTGGCATGAAATGATTTTTTTTTTCTTATTTTCCTCTCTTATTTATAATAGGTAATTTAGGTAACCTTCTTTCATATACTTTTTTTTTTTTTTTTTTTTTTTTACATAGTATATCTTATAGAAAATAAAAAAATCTGTGGTTGATGATAAGAAATGGTTAAAGGTTCTCATAAAGTTCTGATTATTTTGTGAAGGTATCCAAATAATTTTTTCACCAGAGTGTTAAGAAAGAGCTGTCCTCTGCTCACCACTGATAAACTCACACCTACCTTGAGTTGTGAGTGGGTGCTTCAACAGGTATCTGATATTGTGTGGTACTTTTTGACATTTCTTCTTTAATATGACAGGTGACAGCATAACTCTTTGATTTTACTTTTGTTGCTTGGGTATTGTGAAAGTGGACAACTCTCTTCTCCATTTCCTTGTTCTTTTGTTTGTCTGTCATATAACCATCTGTATATTGGATAATATTACTGGTACATAGGTTTCATGTGCTGTGCTGTTTCATCAAGGTTGAATATAATAAAAAAAAGCCTCCTCATAAGCTAAAACGGTGATTGTTTGTAGAGGTCCAGTCACCACTAACAATTATATATTATGTCCTTATGTTACTATACAGATACTGTGAAACTCATATTTAGTATCTGCTAATGTTGAAGATGAAATTGAAAGGTGTTTGCTCTAGAGACCACATTGAGAAGAAAACAGCTGTGTTTGTAGATGGATTTGCTCCTAGCGGCAGCATTTACTTGATGCGTCATAGGATTCACTTTGGATTTTTCCAGTAGATGAATAACGCAGGAAAGTTAATTTTTGGGAGTTCTTACCCCTTGATTGTGTGACGTTGTTCATGATCTTAGTGATCGATGTATTTTTTTGTCAGATGATCCCTTCAAATAAACTCTGCTGCAAGAAAGAAAGGGAGTGGGAAAAAATGAACTAGTCAGCTCTGCCAATGGAGAAAGTGGTAGCTAGTCAAACAGAAGAGTGATATTTATCATATATTTTCTTAAAACCTCCAAAATTTAGCACTAGGTCAAATATGTTTTTCTTCTTGGTTACTCTTTTCTTTTCATACAAAAATTAGAGCAGTTGTAGCTTACTCTTCCTGATTATTAAATACTAATATGATGTTTATCTTATATGCATGTATAATTTAGTGTGCATAATTTATTGAAGAGTTCTCAAAGTTAACATTTCAGTAAAAAAAATTCTTCGAAGTGACTTTTGCCGTTTCGATTTCTGCCATTTTGTTTTTCTATCGTAAATCATGCAAGTAATGCTGATTAATGCTAGAATCTTTCATTAAGATGCTAGATATAGATATTGTGATTGAAGATAAAAATAGAGCTATGTTTCAAAGGTTGATAAGAAGTAATGCATCTCTTTGCAAACAGACGTAGGCCTATTGAGTGATTTTCTTTTCCTTTTTCAGGAGAGTCTCAAGTCACTAAATTTGTGAAAGAGATTGCTTTGGTGATGATGGCAAGTGTTGTGAGAACAGTTTGTTCCCCGAAAATTGTGGGTAAAAGCAGATTTAAAGCTCGAAAAAGTATGAGGAAAAAAATCATTTGCTGTTCTACTTGCAGTTTTGAAGTAATTTCAATGGCGTGTTATTTTTCTTTTGAGAACAAATCTTCATTTGGGCTTTGTGGGGGATGCCATGTGTCATAAAGTGGTGCCTCACCAATCAATTTGATTTATCAGTCATCTTTTGGTTCTGAGTTATCCTGTGAGCAGTGGTAAAAATGGGTTTCCTTAATGGTGCAGTTAAGATATATGAGGAATTCTCTGTTTATTTAGACTGGGATTTGACTGCCAATGATCTTACCTTTTTCAGCTTTGTATTCAGCATAATTGTGCCTTTAATAGTTTTTTGGATAGTGTATTGGACTGGGGAGCTAGTCCATTTGTCTTTTCCCCCGAGTTTCTCACTCATTTTGGATATAAGTGAAGGCATTGTTTAAATGTGTGAACTCCAATTTCACAAATATCTTTAACATCAGTATGATGGACTAGGCAGTGGCTTTGCCATTTTTATTAGCCATAAAGCTTAGATTATTAGCCTGCATTCTCTGTTGATATTACATACTAGATAGATAAAGCTTTTGGAGTCACAGCACTGCTAAAGCCCATACTTTTTTTCATTAATTGTCAAAAAACTAGATGTGGACCACATTGTCCATTTATTGTGCACTCTTTCTTGAATATTGCCAGTTTTTTAACTAGCGAAGGGCCCCTTTAAGCGACTCGACAGTTGCTTTTAATGTAAGGCTCATAGGAATTAGTTCATTGATTTCTTAGGCACCTTTGATCATGATTTTCAAGTATTGAATCTTATCTCTATTATAATGAATAAGAGTGAACCACATTTGATTACTTCGATCTGAAATGATTGTCTTGAGCATTTGACAGGTAATTTATTGTAACTTCCTCCTAGTAAATGAAGTAAATGATAGATTTTTCTTCACCAGACAATAGTTAAAGCTGTTGGTAAGGTTTAGATTGTAATTTGTGATATTTGGTTTAAGTTATTTGCCAGTATTGTAACTGTAGTATAGGGTAGCTGTTGTATTCAGGACGACCTCAGTCTGTGGAAGTGATTGGTCTCAGAAATTACTTCATTTATAAGAGAGAAAGAAGAGGAAGAATACAAATAATAACTGGGATGAAGTAGTACATTTTTCTCCATGTTTACTCATAATTTTTTTTCCAGTTTCCTTGTTATTTTACACGACTTTTAGTGACACACAAGACAATAGCTTAACATAGTGAAATTACCATCAGCTCGGTAGTGAGAAAATATAAAAATATATATGAATTTTGTTAGAGTGAAAATAAAATGTGGTGCTGTGTTACAAGGCCTAGATATCTAGAATAAGGGAGTAACACATAAATCAGATTTTATTATTATCATCATCATTATTGTTTCTTTATTGATTTGAAAGAGGGAGGTTTAGCATAGAGAACAATAGCTTGGATGGGAAAGCAGAGAGATATAGAATGAATGCATTACTTATCTGTATATTTGTGGGTGATTGAATGTAGTAGTTTGTGTGTTCAGTTTTGTGCTTTATAAAGTTGATGGTTATATATTTTTTGTTCCTTGGGTCAACCTTAAATTAATGTAAATTTAGCATGGTCACAGGGTCGCATTTGATGGATGTTCCGTTTTCGAAGAGGGATGCACGTCTTTGTGGCAGTGTTGAATATCTTTCATTAATTTTATTGCAATGTGGTGTTTGCTCAGCAGTGACTCGAAACGGGCTTGAAGTAGCCTCGCATATAGGTCACATTTGTTGTTTTTTTCCACAGGATGATCTGCATATTACAATAATTTCCATCATATGTTGGATAATTTTATACTTTGTTGTTCTCTGTTATGTGATCTTTGTCAAGATTCCATTCTATATATATATTTTTTGTTCTTTAGAAACCCATTTCTGCGGAATTAACCGTTTTATATGAATTAAGGGGTTATATTTACTCTGTATATTTGTGATATGTTATTTGATTTTGCCTTTATTTTGTGCTGTTATAATTAGAGTGACAAAGATATTTGAAGATCTGGTAAATATATGTTAAAGTGAGATATGAGTGTACATATGTATGACCAAATATGTATAATTTTCTATGAGTCAAATAAATGTTTAAGGAATTGACATTGGTATTTAATTACATTCTTACTACAGCAAATTCACGAGTTAATTTATCATTATATATATATATATATATATATATATATATATATATATATATATATATATATATATATATATTATATAATATATATAATATACACACATATATATGAACCGTATCCATGTTGACAAATGTGGAAAAGGTATGAATGAGACTGGTTATCTTCACAATACAAGAGATGTATTTGACTGGTTTCGATTACGTCTTCGTCAGAAATACATGTATTTCTGATGAAGACGTAATTGAAACTGGTCAAAATACATCTCTTGTATTGTGAAGATATATCCAGTCTCATTTATACTTTTTCATACATTTATATATATATATATATATATATATAATATATATATATATATATAATATATATATATATATACACACACACACACACACATACACACACAAATATAATATGTATGTATGTTTGTAGATGTATGTGTATGTGTATGTATGTCCATATGCATATGCAAGCATGCAAATGTATATATATATGCATGTACATGTTTTACATATGTATGTGTACATGTTCATATATGTATATGTACATGTCTACATATGTATAAATATGTAGACATGTACATATACATATATGAAATGTACAACATATGTAACATGTACATATGCATATATCTACATTTGCATGCTTGCATATGCATATGGACATACACATACACATACATCTACAAACATACATACATATTATTATTTGTGTGTGTATGTGTGTGTATAATATATATATAATATATATATTATATGTATGTATGTATGTATGTATGTTTCGTGTTTAAATGAGCATCTATCAATCTATCTATATATATTATATACCATAGACAGACAGACAGAGACACACACCCTCCCTATGTAATCACATATACAAACTCACATTATGTATTATCTTCACAAAAGAACCGAGAACACTGCAAGCCAGAAATTCATACTGACTGATATCTAATATATAATCCTGTTATTTGAAGAACCATTTACCATTAAGAAAGATTTGTTCAAGGAAACAATATAAATTCATGTAGACTTTTATTTGAAACAGATATGTACAACGCTCAGATTAGCAAACGCAAAAGAGCTAAACATGAAAGCGACATAAAAGCTTGGTTGTGCTGATAACAGGATACGTAACGATATCATTGCCCTCTGTCAAGCACTTGCTCAATCAGTAAGATGGTCTCCGATTGTTCTTTAAGAAATGAAAAAAAAAATGCTTATACATGAATAATCTTTTAAGTTTCACTGTGGTAAGAAAAAGAAAAAACAAACAAAATAAGGCAGATGGAGCCTACCTGTCACCTAATTATGCCAAACAGGTTATCATTGAGAAAAGGCAAAATATTCTGTATCCAAAACCAACTCTAATAACAATGAAGGTAATACAAACTGCATTTCTAACAGTTCAAATTTTCTCAAATGGTTAAAAAGTGTGAGGAAAAAAAATAAAAATAAAAATATGATAACAACGACACTATAGAATGCTAATAATATTAATGATAATAATAATAAAAATAAAGAGTAATATTTGGTAAGAGAAAACAAATCTTTGGCTTGTCTTTTTTTTTTTGAGAATGTTTTTGTTCTGTTTCTGTGTGCTAAGGTGTGTGTGAATTTGGCAAATCAAATTTTACAAAAATGATAGTTACAGTACATATAACTTGGATATAATAAAGCTAATTTTGTCATTTATAAAGCCCTTACAGTAGACATTATTCTTTAAAGAAGCTACATGTCTAGGAGAGGTATGATTATGTGCACCTTTATATTATCGCATATAACGTTTGTTTATTACTTAAATAACATCAACAAAGTAGCACTGTAGTATCTTGTTTAAGGAGTCCCTATTGTTACATCAAGAACTTGTGCTGTGTGGGTTATTCCAGACTTGACCTTCCAAGGGTTATGAAAGAGGCTGCCAAAATAAGAGCCGTAGACGATGGGGGGTGGGGGAGGAAAATATCACGAAACTTTGAAGTGATGCCTACTTGTACTCTCAGTGGAAGACCAGGCTACTGATGCACACTCATTTTCGCATTTTATTTATTTTTCTATTCGTTAATAAATATTACACATGCAGTCACTGAATATTCTATTAGCTGTAGATGGCAAGACTTTGTTCGGAAATGACAGTGTTCTGCTCTATGGAAACAACTTAACTGCTAATTTTTTCAACATGATCTTTCCCAGATTCTCCAGAAAAAAACGGTTCATGCGCACATCTTCAAAGACAATCAACAATGCATCTTCATGTAAACTTGTAGCTTAATTCCACCCAAAAGAGGATAATTTCACATTTACGAGCATATTCATTCAAGTGTTAAAGGCACAGAAAATCTGTGCAGAAATCAAATTTGATAACAAAAGGAATACCTTTAGCTGAAGCATTAAATCAATAATAAAAAACTATAGAACAACAATTTCATTTGGCTTCTAAGCATTTTATAAATAATATCCTTGGAAGGATTACAGGCCACACAACAGTATCCTACTGATCTCAATCAGGGACTAACTATACCTTCTTGCACACTATATATATATAGAATCATATATATTTTAGATCCATGCACCTATGAAGAGAAGAGGTGGACTTTCTTAGTTAAAAGAATAGCCTGTCTAGTAATGACTGCCAAGGTATGGATGATATAAACCTGTCATGCCTTGCCTTGTCAGCACATGTATCAGAGAGCTTACCTGGGTTTGCTTATGTTATTGTCAGTTGCATAAGCCCCCCAAAAAACAATAAAAATAAAATCAAAATAAAATCCTGCTAAAAAAAAAATCTAAACCCAAAGACAAAATAAATATATTTATAGATCTGCTTGTAAATATACACATTCATACTATCCATAGATCAAATATCTGAACTATAATCTAAAATCACCTGCAACTCCTGCTTCTGAGATATTGTGGTTCCTTAAAGTACATGTAATGGACAGTGCAGGCAATGAGAAACCGCTGGGCTGCCGATGTTTCTTGATTTAGGTTTCTGATTAGCAATCAGTTTTTGTATTGTTTGCCGATGAGGTTCAAAGTTGAAAGAATTTGTTGGTCTCATTGTTGCAGTTATTTTATAATAAATTAATGTCAATAGAAGCTCATGATATTTAAATGTGATCAAATAGGTCCTTAGTTAAAAGGAGATTTCTACTTGCTTTTTGACTCTTATATCTAAAACCAGTTCTCAAGTATACTGTGTGGAAAAGAAACACTGAATGATCACATGGACATTGGAATGCATGCTGAGATGATAAGTGTAATCTTCTTAGGATATTACACATAGAAGAAAATGGCTTAATATTTCTTCTAACCCAAAATCTGAGCTACAATATGTCCATATGCAAATTCTTTTTTTCATTTTGCAGTGTCTCTAAACTATTTATCATCAAGTATCAATTGCAGAGTATTTCACATGCCAGACATTTCTTGCCATCATCTATGACACCGGGGAATATGTGGCACATTTCTTTAAAAAATTTCAATACCTTGGCTTTAGTGATGCAACAAAAACTTTGTACCTCTCAACTGTACAGTTCTTCCTTATTATGATGGATAGCAAAAAAATGATATCAGAAAAATTAAATAAAAATCATATATCAATAAAAGTGAAGTAAAATTGTAATAATAACAATGATAAAGTGGGACAAGACCTTCAACAACAGTCCTGCTTTATAAATAAGGTTACACAACCACATCACATTATATCCACTGCTGTGATTATATCAGGAATAACCTTACAGATTTTGTCATTTATTTATAAAAAAAGATTTAACAATTTTCTGCCCTGTACAGCCAGACGCTATTTCTTACACATGGGTCTTCTGCACAGGCTATACGACAATTTAGCTCATAGAAAAGAATATTAAAACTGTACTATTTCTGAAATTCCTAAATAAACGCTACAATGTTGCAGAGGTACCTGTATGTCAGTTTAGGAGGTGAAAAAGTCCATAATATAAAAATCAAAGGTAGCCACTACAATATACAGGGAGTAAAGGAAAATACAAAAGTGAGTGAGAGAGAGAGTAAAAATGAGGTCAAGAGATCTCGGCAGAAAAGGAAGCGGACATCCCTTTTCGCCTAGCTACTTCTTCCAAGGATGTATTTACTACATATCCTATCTATTTATTCCCAAAAATAAAAGCTGACTTGACCATACCTACATAAAAACAACCTAACAAGGGGGTGATATCACAGCACCATGAGAGGGAGAGTACATCAATCATGTACATTAAGTATCCTTTGACTGTTCAGCTAAAGCAACAGAACTTTTTGAATAAAATTAAAAACATATCATATATATAATACATATATATATATATATATATATATATATATATATATATATATATATATATATATATATATATATATATATGTAATATGTCATATACATATATATATTCATACAATATGTAATCTTACATATCATATACATTTATATATATTCATACATATATACACATAATCATTATATATATATATATATATATATATATATATATATATATATATATATATATATATATATATATATATATATATATATATATATATATCATATATATGTATATCATATATCGTTCATATACACATATATATTATACATACATATATCCCTGCAAACTAGTAACCACTTGCCAGAAGGAAAACCTATTTCAACAAATAGAAAACTTTAAATACAAAAGATACAGCTGCTCTATGATAATCAGTTGGATGATATAATAGCGAGTAAACTTTTTATAAAATAACTATCATATTAATATTACTGGGATCATTCACTCACTTTTGTGAAAATGACTGTTGAAATCATCCCCCTGTTCAATGATAAAATCTCTGACGGTCCAAACTCTAGAACTAGCACAGTAGACGATGGTTATTTCAACCTCACTAGTCAGGAGTGCTATTTCCCTTTCTCTCCGTTGACAACCCACCAAGCTAATAATGGTTAGTTGATCAGTACAGTGACAAATAGGAATTGAATAACCAGCCTATGTTTCCACCTGCTATGCCGGCGGACCATCGAACTACTTCTTAATCTTTAGTCTCATGGAATTGGATTTGTTTCTTGGGGCTGGGCTCGTGGTCCAGGACGTCTTTGTTTCATCCTTGCTGTCTGTTGATCGCTGGAGGCTCAGCTCCTTAGCGCCACTGTTGGGAAGATTGGAATAAATCTGAATGAGTATTGTAACTATCACAAAAATACCTTAATGTGCAATGAATTCACTAATATATGCTGAAATCAGTGTATTTAGAAAGGAACTTTTTTTGCAGTTGTATTATGAATTAATGCAGTATGCTGAAAACTGCAATAAATTTAATACCAAATCCAAAAACTTAAAAGGAGCTATGTTGGTGCATCATTAATTCAATAATGTCAAGTAATCAACAACATAAAAGAAAATTTTCCCTCACAGGGCTGATACTCACATGTGTTTTGTTAGATCTTCAATATCAACCAACATAGAGTCTTGCTCCATGTGCAGGTCGTCTCGCTCCATCAGTAAAGTGACTAAATCTTCGTTCAGGCCTGAAAAAAGGGGAAAAATTGCATTAATATTCAGTGTGGAAGTATATAATAAAAAAATTTCAATAATGGAAATGAAGGGCTGGGTTCCAGGACATAACTCATTCACCTTTCATGAAGTAAGAAAAGAAAAAATATTCTTTTAATCTTATATCCTATTTACTGGCAAGTAATGATTCTAGAATCCTGTAACTTAATCATCAACAAAAGAAATATACACTACTTACTTTCAATTTGTGTGTGTAGGTCATTTGCAATAACTTGCAACTGTGCAACATTCATATCTGTGAGAATCTGCCTGCTGATTCGCCTCTTGCTGTCTGGGAATGGCACACCAATCTGCAACACAAACAGATGGAATATGTAAGTTATAAATTGGGAAGTCAAACCGGGAGGAGCCAATCTGAATATCACTTCAAAATATAATTCACAACGATAAACAATAAAACTAAGTCCATGCTAAACTACATAATAATCCTCCTTCAAGAAACAAACAATACAATAAAAGTCACAAAAGAAAGAAAGAACGAAAGAAAAAAGGTATTAACTTTACTTGAAAAAATAAAAACATTTTCTCCTTCAATAATTTTGAAGACTCACCTTGTGGAAGCTCTCCCTCACAATCTCTGCAATGGGACTCTTCTTTTTCTGCTGCTTCTCAATCTCCATTTGCATTCTGGCCATTTCCTTAGCCTGTGCAAGCGCCAAGCGAGCCTCTGCTTGCAGCTGTGCTTGCCGTGCAAAGAAATCAACCTCTTTCTCCCTAATATCAGATTCAGAGTTTGACGTCCGAGTCCTTGTTGGTTGTGGAGTTGAAGCCTGTGCAAAAGTTTTGTAAATGCTTAATATCCATTGCCAATTCGGGAAATCTAAACACAGCTGAATTTAATAGCGAAACGATATATTGAGATTAAAAAAATATCCTAGGCACATACAGTATCTACTAAAGCAGTTGGAACTGTAGATATGAAGAATATAAGAAATCACTGATTTTGTATTTTAAACTCACTGATACAATAATGAAAAATAGATGGAAATAAGAAAAACAGTTCTATTACAATACTGTTTAAACACAAAACAAAAACACAGACTAACATACCTTGCTGTTTGAAGAGGAGGTCGATACTCGATCTGTTTCTATTTCTCTATCTTGAGTACTTTCTGTGTCTGAGCATTGGCTTTCACAGTCACTGGCTGTCTCATTCATGAAACATATTTGTAGGTTCATACCTGACGAGGAATAATGCTTGGTTAGTACATAATCAGTCAAATCTCTATAGCTCTTTTATTTTTCATCTATAAAAGTTCAACTCACTTTAAATGTGCCCCTTGTTTGTAGTATACTAAATAATGATTATTTTTCCATATAAAGAAATGAAAAAAGACCCTTTTTTTACTACTCATTAATTACTTTTTCGACATCAGTTACATTTAACTATAACCACATAATAACTATTCCTTAATTCATTGCACACACAAAGAACACACAGTTGCCCTTGTCAAGGAAACTTACCACTCTGTAAACGGGAATGTAGTGATGGCTTCCGATATGGCCTCTCCATGAACTGGTCATCGTCCACCCCCATGGCCAGTTTCCGTCGAATCTCCTCTCGGTCATTGCGCCGCTGAAATGAGAAGAGAAACATTAATGAACTGTTCATTGACTTTGGCAGAGTGCAGTCTTGAATACTTAAATACAATATCAGCTATCAATGACATGAAGAAAAATTGAGACAATTCAAAAACTGGCTAAAACTGCCATATCTGACACTGACTACAGATGCAATATCTTCAACAGAGTAACAAAATAAAAGATAATGTTCTTGCATGAAAAAATCTGTCCATCACCAAACAAGATCTCTTAAAAGAAAAAAAAGGCAAAAAAAGAGAATGAAAAAGAAAAAAAGAAAAAAAGAAGGGAAAAAAAGAAAAAAAAAAAAGGAAAAAGATGAAAAAAAAGTATGGCATAGTTCTTTTCCTAACAATGAACTCCCTCCTTTCTCTGCTTCTCCTTGGCATTACCCTTTCTGGATGGTTATAAAAAGTCTCCTGAGGTCTTTCGTCATCATCTTCTGACCTAATGACACGTATGAACTTTTCCACAATGTCCTCTTCATCTGTCTTATCATTGTTAATGTAAGGCAACCAGTATTTGCGATTGTTCACCAGCACGGGCCATTTTAACTGTTCCAGCAGAGTGGGGTACTTTTTGGGCTCGGGTGAAACCGAATCATTCCCGCTGTTGTCGTTCACTTCACTCGGTTCGTTCCAAATGAGCTTGGACACGCGGTCTGACTGTGATTTGAGCGAGGTGAACAGTTGTGACGACACTTTGGCTGTTTGGGATTTGATTGAGTTTAGGCTGACCGACGACAGGCTTAAGTTTGTGGGGAGTCTTGACAGGGAATTTGATGATCCGTCCACCTCGTCCAGGTCTTTTGTCTTTTGTGGCTTAAGCTGGTTTATTATATTACCGAACATGTTGGGTCAGTTTCTTTTCAGGTCATCTATCCATTAAATCTGATGGGATTCCATAATAATAATAAAAAATCAGGTAATTGCAGGTCGAAAATTATCTCCAAAAAATTGTTTTCTGAACACAAAAAAGGCTCTTATACCCATTATAAGTACCATGTTGCACCATAATACATTCTTATGCCTATTTATTGCCTTTGCCAAGTTCAATTTACATATAAATAACTATAATTTCCATTTTCTGAAGTAATATCTCATCAATCAAAATATCTTTTCTTTGATACAGGATTTTGTAGTGAAATGTCACACTGTCACATGTCACCCTTAGCTTTCCTTACAATATCCTTAGTTGTGAATAAAATGAACTGTTTTCATGTTTGCTTATCATGTGTAATTGATTCACGGCACCAAAATATCTATGAGAACCTGATAATCCAAGATTTAAAGTTTTTCTTTGGAGATATAATTTTTTCTTTAACCAGCATTCACTCGATCTTCAAAAGCCTCTCCACAACCACGTTAATAAGCCTCCCCAAATACAACCCCCAAAACACGGCCATTCCAACCCCCTGGGAGACCCCCTCAAACCCCACCCATTACCTCGAGGGCCAGAAATCACGCCCATGAAATCACCCCTTCGACACTTCAGACCACGCCCACCTCCTCCCACGCCCTCCCCGACACCTCACGAACCACCCCCGGAGACACGTCACTTCTTTCTCTTTTCTTTCGGGTGATTATGATCGATTTCTGGCTCGGGGGACGCTGAAATCGCGAAGAAAAGGGAGGAACAGGTTGGTCACCGCTGGAACGAGAGACAGAAAAGGTAATGCGGGTGCTCACCTTCCTCTCTCGCCGCGCCGTTGCCAAACCTCTATTATTTGTTTTTTATTTGTGACATTTTGAAGGGGTATTTCTGTTATTTATTGGGGTGGGGAGGTGGTAATTTATCAGTTCGGTATTGTAAGATTGTTTCATGTGTCTGTTGGTTGTGTTTTTTAATTGTATGCTTTGTTTGTTTCCGCTTCATTATCATTTGATCAATTATGTTGTGAATTGATTATGATTCTTATCTATGTGTTACTGTCGATACTGAATCTTACTAGACGCTCTACCAAGCAGATAAATACAGCGCAATCATGCTCGTAAATTGCGGTAAAACAAGCGAAAAATCGTAACTACAAGAAATTCCTGTGTTCAGTCATGTGGCACCGCCGCACGTGACACTCGCATCCGTTCAAATCACTAGGATGGACAAAGACGTATATACAGCAATACATGCATACAACATACAAACATGAATACGTGTATGTGTGTGTGTGTGTGTGTGTGTGTGTGGTGTGTGTGTGTGTGTGTGTGTGTGTGTGTGTGTGTGTGTGTGTGTGTGTGTGTGTGTGTGTTACGTGCATGCATGTGCGTTCGCGTGTATGATACACCACAAAATCCAACTTGTTTGTTTTACTTCATGAAATAAAGCGTGACAGCGAATGAGAATGAGATGTTTACTGTCAATACGAAGACAAATTAAATTTTCAAATCCTGCGACTTATTCTTGCACAGAAAACCTATTTATTCATACTGGCAGAAAACTCTCTCACTGAAACTGGACAACGAAAATGTCATGTTTTCTCTTTCATGACAATTCGTCTCGGAAACATGCTTTGAAAAAACGCATATTATTATGAAGATACAAACGTTAATTATCACAAAGTTTCGTAAACGTGAGGTATGTCGTTTTCCTGGGTAAGCATCGTGTGTGTGTGTGTGTGTGTGTGTGTGTGTGTGTGTGTGTGTGTGTGTGTGTGTGTGTGTGTGTGTGTGTGTGTGTGTGTGTGTGTGTGTGTGTGTGTGTGTGTGTGTGTGTGTGTGTGTGTGTGTGTGTGTGTGTTGTGTGTGTGTGTGTGTGTGTGTGTGTGTGTGTGTGTGTCAGAATGGAACAGCAGATGTACACCCGAGATTTTTGTTTGAGTTCCTGGTTGTACACCTGAGTGATTTACGGTAGTCGACGATCAAAATAATTATGTAACATCGAATGGAACGAGAATTTACTAATAGTGTAAAGGACTTACAAGCATTTTTGTTATCTGAAATGTTTCAGGATGTGCACTCTTCGAAGTGTACACTTGGGTAACCGTTGCACACTGCACGCTTCAACGTTCGAAAAAAGTGCCGTACTTTCCATATGGTGTGTGTATGTTATATATATATATATATATATATATATATATATATATATATATAATATATATATATTATACATATAACAATCACATTACATTTCTGAAAGTCCATTCAAAATTCCCCATTAGCTATATGGACAGCGTTTCACTAACAGTCTTAAATTCCAGGTAAATGACCTATAGTCAACATGACACCCCTATCACCGTTACACATGGCCTTGTTACGTTACCAAAGTGTCAACCCAAGCCAGAGTGACCCGCCCTCTGCCCTGTGTCATGGTACCATTTCAAGGACGCACTCGATTCAAAACAAGCAGCCATTTAACCTTAAAAGTTGCCTTACAAAAGAGTATTCACGTGCTTTGCCTCAACACGTGGTTTAAATTCAGTCAGAACAAGGGGTAGACTTGTTTATCGATGGACCTGTCTCGGGTTTGAGGACTGGGGAGGGAGGGGGTGTGATAGGGAAGGAGGGAAAGGGAGGGAGGAGGGAGGGGGAGAGGGAGATACCCAGGCGATTAGGGGGCTAGGGGGGTCTGAGTGGGATAAGGGGGGAGAGGAAGGGAGAGGGGCATACCCAGGCACTACCCAGTGAGACCCCTTGTGGTGGGCTGGTCCGTGTCAACTTTCAAGTCTGACAAACTGTAGGGGGAAAAGGGTGGGGCATTGGTAGGGGGGGGGGAGGCAGGCTGGTAAAAGGGGTTCTCGTTAGCGGATCTGTTGTTTGTGATACTGTGGCTATTTTTACGTTTTTATTTATTGTTCTGAAAGTGTTATGGCTCATTTATGTTAAAACTACCGACGTGCCTCTTCCCCCGATAACTATTGAGTGTCAGCGCCAAGTATCCTTCGATTTTGAAGTCTGTGAAAATCTATTATAAAATACTTATTTCAGGTTTCGCAACACCATGGCCGATTTCAACACTTAAACCTTCTTTTATTCAAAGTTAAAACAAATGGGCCGACAGTCCATAAATCAATCAATCATAGCAAAATCATTTCAATAAGATCCCGGAGCAGTCCCTTAGAACCCTATCGAAATACCAACACGAGATCCTGTTGCTTCTCCACACCGAAAAACGACTCCAAACAAACAAATCTATTCCATTGCTGTTTTGTCTCCGTAGGGCGACGGTTGAAAGACATGGAGATGAAGAGCGGAGTGAATAATGTGCCACAAAAAGAGTTAACACAGACCAGATGACGTTAGCGGATTGGCATGCGAGTGAGTGAGTGAGGCGCCGTGGCTTGTCAGGGTCTGCCTCTTCTCACGCGAAAATGATAAAAGCCGGGGCGAAGTGGTCACGTTGCCTCATAACAAAGGCCGTTTAAGTGGATTCCAAGTGGACGCTGGGTGTCTCGGCGATCTCGTAGCCTCTTTACAGAATGGCGTTCATGTATGCTACTCGCGTGACGTTCTTCTGGCGGCTTGTGATGGTAATAAGCACGGGAAAGGGGTGCTAGCCAGTCGAATCTCCACCAGTCAGCCCATCTCCACCCTCGACTGGGCTCTGGCTCTTCCCCAATCACTCGAACACCCCCTTACAGCCGAAAGGAACGAAGCCTACATGGAGAATTTCCTTCCCCGAGAAAGCCGGCCACTCGCACCGGTCGGTCACGGTTAACCTGAACATCAACGCCAAGATACTGGCACCATTTGACCATGAAGAGGAGAGAGAGAAAAAAATACATATCGTAGTTTGTCGATGGCGATGCCGACTTTCACCTCGTTTAAATATAGCTTGAAGAGCCAATATAGACAGAGTTAGGGTGTGGGACCCTGACATGTATACGGAACCAGTAATTTAGCAGACAACACACAATCTAACGAGAGGTGTGTAGGATGACTTGAGTGAAAGCCAAATTTCTCTGTCTCTGTCGATTCCTTTTCTTTCTCTTTCATTCGGTGACAAACCATGGGCCTCTTTTCTTTTCTTTCTTTTCACGGCTGTGTTTCCCAGTCATCCAAA